GATCAACCATGGCAGTACAACAGACACCAGAAATAATAAAAATAACATTAAGATACGTAGGCCAACTACCGACGACTACAAGCACTGAAGCGAGCCGAAGACACGCCGCCGTCATCACCCCTCCCTCCCTAGAGCCGAACAAAACATGTTCTAGACAATCGGGAAGTAGTCGTGTTAAGGCCACGTAGGACCAAAGCACCAGAACAACAACTGCCGCCTATGAGGATAAGCATATATCGGAAGTATCAAACCCGAAAACACACAAACATAGACGAACGGATGTCGGATCTGAGTGGATCCACCAAAGACAACCACAGACCGAATCCTGTCAGATCCGTCGGAAACACACCTCCACACGCTCGATTTGTCTGTGACGGCAAATTTGTTGTTAAGTCTTTTTTAATAGGTATAAATCGTCGATACCAGATTTTTGAAGGCTAAGCACCACACGGGTTGAAGAAGATTTGCTCCATGCCCAAAAAGAGGTGAATACTAATATCTCGCTTATAGCGAGTATATATATATATTTTTAGGAAATAGCGAGTATATTGTTCGTCTAACCTAAAAGATTCCTCCCGTGTAATCAATGCGCGAGACTATTTTTGCTTTCTTTTTCCCGTACAATGGATTTCGATCGAGACACTTTTTTTTAGCATCAGTACAGACACAAGCGCTCATATACACGTGCATATACTCACCCCTATGAACGCACACACGCACACTCTACCCCTATGAGCACCTCCGAAAGACTGAGCCGGCATATCATCTTGAGATTTACGAAGTCACCGTAGGCACCTCGTCGTCGACGGGAACGTCTCCTCCCACTGAAAGCACGTCGCCGGAAATCCTGAAATAATTCCAGGGATAATGCGAGCACCAGGATGTGAACCCTGGTGGGTTGGGGATACCACTGTCCACCTAACCATCTCAATCACATGTTGGTTCGCTTCGATCGAGACACTTGTGGTTTTGTTCGTCGTTGCACTAGTTTTGGCTCCTTTTTTGTAGTTTTTTTCTTGGTTTTAACTTTTTTTGTTCTATTTAGTTTTCTTTGTTTCTTCATTTGTTTTCTCTTGTTTTTTTTGTTTTTTCTCTTTTCACCGATCTTCTCCGTTTATATATTGGTTTTCATTTGTTTTATAATTTTCTTTACTTTTTATCAGTTTTCTTTGTTTCCTTTTTGTTTTTTATCGGTATTTTTTTACTTCGGCGATCTAGATTGTTTCTTTTGTAGGCCTTTTTTAGCACATGTCTACTTTTTTCAGTACACAATAATCATTTTTAGTGTATATGTCAAACATTATTTTGACACATGTTGATTTTTTTCAAATACACAATGTACATTTTTAATATTTTTTAACATTCTATAGACATTTAAAAAGAATCACAAACGTTTTTTGAAAACACGTGAATATTTATTCAAAATGCCAAGTACATTTTTAATGGCAATAAATATTTTTTAACCTACAAATTTTTTTTACATTGTATAAAC